ATCTCGTCAAGTGCATTGAGATCTGTGGGGAGAAGACAATTCAACTGACTGTTGTATACAGCAGAGGTCAGAGCGGTACCTAGAGAGTCAGTCCAGTGGGGCATGGGAAGCTGGCTTGTTCTGATCTGATGGGGAACTTCGCTGTTAGGTGTCTAGGGGTTTTCCCTCCTGGTGTGTCCTGCTTTGTGCCTTCCAAGGAAGGGCTCTGCCTGAATCCTGAAGGGCAAGTGCACAGCAAAGGTTTAGGGAAATCGGATCAAGAACGGAGATGCTGGTGCTTCTCACAGGGGTTGGGGGGAGAAGGGAGAATGCATGCATGGATGGTGGTGTATATACTCTATTTGGGGTAGAAGAGTGTGATGGGGACATTATGTGTGTATGGTCAGAATACAGGGGTGCATATACTATGTAGTATAGATTATGTATGCTGTGCTAAAATGTGTGTTTGCAGGACAAATTATGTATTCTCTTTCTCTATCTATCTATCTATCTATCTATCTATCTATCTATCTATCTCTCTCAAATGTGTGTTTGTAGGGCAAATTATGTATTCTCTCCTCTCTCTCTCTCTCTCTGGGGGTTCTTAACCTCTTGCCCCACACTTTTGTAAAAGTTCATATATATTCACTAAGATAAAACTACACTGCTGGCCAATAATGAACATGTAATAAAATTGAAGAGACTTCCAAGAGAGCGGCTTATCAAATCAGAGTGAGCTGTCATTAACTACCTGTCACATGCCTCTGCTTTTTTGGTGGGTGCTGGTAGGTTTCAAACTCGTGGCTTAGAGCATACTGTCAAGTGTTCTACCACTGGGTAATACCTCTTACCTTTCTAGGGCACGGGGCACACCCTTGATATCAGCCTCTTTCTTGTGGATGATACAGAAGAAACAGGCTTCTACCTAAAACCTATCTATGAGTCTCTAATCCCCAACACACTCCCCAGATGCCCAGATTCCAGAAGAACACAGAATAGCAATTCTTACTTCCCCAAGTAAGTTTACAGGCTCAACTTACCAGACTCCCAGGATATTAGAAAATTAAGGGTATAATGGATGAGCCCCAACTAGACATGCCCTTTCTCCCCATCATCCTCAGACTCAAACCTTCCTTCCCCAGAATCCCCTCCCCTCCCCCTGTTGCCCATGAATCAAGGATGGCCTGGGGTACAGGCTGGTGCTGTGAAACCTTCCCCCTTTCTCTGGGACCTGTAAGCCTCCCCCTCCTCGAGCCTCACTGTTCTACAGTCTCTCGTGGGTCCCAGCCATGCTGTCACCTATCTGTATATATGTCCATGTCATTAATAACCTTCTAATAAACTTCTTACCAAAATGGCAATCTGCTTCAGGATTTCCCCAGACCTTTCAGCTATAGAACTTTTAAAATATCACAAATACACAGGGCTGTAAGCCTTTAATCTCAGCACTCAGGAGGCAGAGGCAGGAAAAATCTCTGGGTTCGAGGCCAGCCTGGTCTACAGAACTAGTTATACAATGGCTGAGACTGCACAAAGAAACCCCGTCCCAGGAAAAAAACAAAACAAAACAAAACAAAACAAAAAACAAAACACAGATAGTTTTCCCTATGCAGCTAATTTGCTCTGGAGGCCTGATAGCCAATGGGTCTTTTTGTGAGCCCCTTTCCTTGTTTGTATGGTTCGTCTATGACAATTATCAAAACACACATAGACTCACAGAAAACACACACTCCTTAGTCTTCTGGGGTTAGAGACTCCTTTCATTCATCGATGTATTCCTAGTAAGTGCTTACTTAGTATTGGTTCAATCAATGAACTGATAAGCTTGAGGCTGAGCAGCCTGAATAATATTCAAGCCCTTCTCTTTCTCTCACCCTGAAGAGCTCAATGCAACTTGACTACGAAATAGCTTATGGCCATGGTGGGAAACTGAAACGTGCTCCAGTGGCCCACGTTCTAAAGGGCTGGTCGCCAGTCCAGAGCTCTACTGAGAGGTTAGCGGGGCCTTCAGGAAGTGGACTCTGATGGAAATAAATTCAGGCATTTGGAGATGCAGTCTTGTAAGGAACAGTGGGATGTGGAACCCTGACCCCTCCTCTCCCTTTTTGCTTCCTGGTCTTAAAGAAAGCAGCTTCTTCTTCCACATGTGGTACCATTACTGAGGCAGAACATCACCATCCCAGAGGCCATAGGGTCAAGTGGGAGACATGAGCTGAATACGTGAGTCAAAATGAGTATCTTGCTTTTATGCGATTTTCTCGGGTATTTTGTGGCTATGATGTAAAACTGACTGATACTCTATTGTTGGGCAAAGAAAACTTCAAACTAATGAACGTAGTCCTTATGTAAACATTCTGCGTAGTTTCCTGACCAGTACTCCTGAGATAAGGGCTCGCTATGTAGCCCAGGCCTGGTTCTCACTATGCTAGTTTCAGATACAAAGCAATTCTCCTGTCTCAGCTACCATTTCTGGCTAGTATTTCTTTCCAAAGAAAGAAAGCAGTGTGTAATGACAGACACCCCTAATTCTAGTATTCAGGGGACTGAAGCAGAAGGATTACCACTAGTTTAAGGCCAGCTTAGGCTACATAGTGGTTTCCTGGGTAGCCTGGACTATGAAGTAAGGCTGTCTCAAAAGAACAAAAACACTTAACAACAAAAACAACAACAACAAAAAAGGAAAAAGGAAATGAGACTTTGATAGCCCACTACTCATGGCATATGTAGGGTTAACAAGAATTTCTGAGAGTCCTTTCTTACAGAAAGCTACACAGACTTTAATGGATTTGTGGGGAATATTCGAGAACATACAGTTTATGATAACACTGTTTTCTAGATAGAGTCTTTAGGGCAGAGTTGGAGCTCTGCCTAAAATAGATGACACATTTATTATTATTTATTAGGGCTGCTGTTTAAGAAAGCACCCACCTGGATGAAAATATTTATACAAACCCTGAGACCCAAGGCTTTCTCAAAATGTGCACCTCATGCATTTCCCTTTGCTTACCCAGGCCTAGATGAGAACGATCCATTGCCATCCCTGAAAGCCACATCCTGGGCTGGAGAGATGGCTCAGTGGTTAAGAGCACTGACTGCACTTCCAGAGGTCCTGAGTTCAAATCCCAGCAACCACATGGTGGCTCACAACCATCTGTAATGAGATCTGATGCCCTCTTCTGCTGTGTCTGAAGACAGCTACAGTGTATTCATATATAATAAATAAATAAATCTTTTAAAAAAAAGAAAGAAAGCCACATCCAATAGTGATGCCTTGCTTCAGAGAGTTAGTCATGGGTCATCATTTTGAGGAAGACAAAAAATACTTTTTTGTTTGTTTTGTTTTTTAAGACAGGGTTTCTCTGTATAGAAGAGTTCCCTGGCCCTGGCTGTCCTGGAACTCACTCTGTAGACCAGTCTGGCCTCGAACTCAGAAATCCACCTGCCTCTGCCTCCCAAGTGCTGGGATTAAAGGCATGCACTACCACTGCCTGGCTCAAAAAAATACTTTTTTTAAGGTCTCATGTAGCACAGGTTAGCTTCAAACTCACTGTGTAGCTGAAGATGACCTTCAACCTCTGATTCTGCTGCCTCCCTCCTAGTGCTGGGATTACACGCAAGAGAAGAAACATTCTGAATCTTCACTTTGCCATTTTATAGTAGTTCTGGGTCAAAGTTAGACTCATGAAGTCCTTGTATGGACGACCCCATGAGGTATAGCTTTCGGCCAAAGGGAATGAATCTCAGAATGCTGAGCAGCCAGGCTGCGCCTTCAACTAGTCCAGGGATAGAAATCCAAACAATATGCAAATGAAGTCACTAGCTGTTCCATTTCCCTTACTATTGAAAAGCATAGTAACTACGACAACATCCACAGAATCACTAGTGACTAGGGCATGCCTGACATGTGTTAAGTTGAATGAATGAATGAATGAATGAATGAATGAATGAATGAACGAACAAGTGAATGAATAATTGAAGACCCAGGAAAAGAAGAGTAGGACCTACGGAGAGGAGTCAGAGAGAGGCCCTGACCTGTCCTGTAGTTGAGCGGCTCCTCCCAGCCGGATGTGCCACGTGGTGCTAAGTTCATTTGTACAGTCTCCTCATTAAGGTCCCTCCCAGCGTAAGGTCCTGTTTGAACTTAGAGCTAATGAATGACTAAAGCTGGGTAGGGCAAAAGGCTCAAGAACAAACTGTTCCAGAAAGCGTGTCTCGTCTGTTCTGCAAAAGTGCTTTCCTTCCTTCACTCGTGTTCCTCCTTCTTATGATCATATGTAGAACACTTTGAGGGGCACACACAGCATGTGGGACCTCTGTGACTCCTGGATGCTTACCTGACTCCCTCCTTTTTCTTTTAAGATAAAAAAAAAAGCTTCAAAGTAAACACAGCCTAAATAAGTACTGTAAAATATATGGCCTGTAGATATCACCTTGACATGATAACTGGTCCGTCCAGATGACCTGCTTTAAAGCTACAAAATAAACAAAACTTCATTTATTTGGCCATTAATATAATTACCCTCTGTTATAAGAAACTGGTATGAAAATAACTCTATATCAGGGTCCAGTCCACAAAAGGATTTAAAAGCCAAAGCAGGTATTTTCCCACAGTTAAGATGTTTGCTGTATTCGCTGGCTATCTGCATACTCCCTGGGCACACAGTCACTGTTTTTCTGAGAACTGTCATCCAGCCTTTAACAGTCCAGCTCTAAGAGAAGAGAGAATTTCTGTGTTTCCCCACAGTTCCTGACTCACTGAGGAAGTGGAGACCATACAAGCACTGACTGTCCCGTGAAATTATCTATTGGTCTTGCCCATGAGTGTTTAAAGTTCTTTCACTTCAGTGCACGATTGTCACTAGATCAGATCCTTATAGGAAGCAATATGCATTTTCTTTTACTAAACAGGCATTTCAAGTGATCTTTTCACTACAGGTAACATCATCAGTGCTTTCTATACCACAGTTGTTGAATGAGGAGCCACACAATGTGTCAAGTCTTTTAGAGTCAGGAAACCTCACCAGGAAATTGCAGAACTGAGGTCCGAGTCTGTTGATTCCATGCAAGGCTACTGCATTGAGTATGTACAGGTTTTCTGGAACTCCTTTGCCTGTAACACACAGAAGAGGAAGAGAGGACTCAGGACTTCTTTGTCAGGGAGACCAAACACTCAGGAGTCCAGGGTAAGTACTAAATTTGACAAACACCAAGTAGATACATTCTATTGGTCAAGGATGCTATTGGCATCACACGAGCGAAAACCTGCAAGGGCTTCTTCAGGCTGTCTCAAAGGACAAAGTTGGGTGAGGAGGTACACAGCCTGCTGGGTTTGGATTGGTTTGGTTAGAGAAGAAGACAAACAGTGTGGGATTTCATTGGGTGGGTGGCTTTGATGGCTTTGCTCTTGGAATAGCCCTGCACATGACCCTACAAGGTTAGTCCTCTAGTCCCAGAGCCATGGTTTTAAATTGATGACACCACTGAATATCTATGTCTTGTGTGATTTTTCCAGGGTGTATGTGAACAAAAAAATGAATTTTGTTTTTGTCCCAGACAGGGTACCAGAGCATACCAAAGAAATGATTTCATCCAAGTCTAGCTTAGAGAGCCAATAAGCCATTAGGGTTACTTATAGGTACCAGAGTAAAGAGTTACAGGGTCAAAGGTGATTCAAAAGCAACTGACTGCAACACCGAAAGGCTCACACTAGCATGGGTGAAGATTCACAAGAGCTGCACACCCTGGAGCTCCCTGCCTAATTCACAGGCAGCTCTTCCATAATAGTGATTATTACTGCTTTTGTAGTCTTGGGGAGGAGAGTTGTGAATCGTGTCAGTGTCTCATCTTCCAGAGTTGCCTTACTTTCTCCCGGAGACAATGGTTCAGTTGGGAGAAAACAGCAACCCAACCCAATCCCCAGCTGGTTTCAGAGTAAGTCAGGTCTGAGAATTGAATCTTCACACACAAGGAAAAGCTGCCTCGGGTAATGAGTAAACTAGGTTTTGCTTCTCCCTTTCAGGTGACAGCACTTTCCCCCATGAAGCATCCTAAAGCACCAAAGTGGGTTAGGTGTCTGGATTTCAACTGGGTGTTGACATCAACTGGGTGTACCCACTGGCAAAGTGAGTTGAGGAAGCTGTACTACCAAGAAATTATTCAGAGCCATTAGTTAAAAGCACTAGCTCCCGAGCCAGATGACATGGGTTCAATCCTTTTTACCCACATGGTAGAAGGGAAGAATCAAGCCACAAGCTGTCTTCTGACCTCCCTACAGATTATCACACACACACACACACACACACACAGAGAGAGAGAGAGAGAGAGAGAGAGAGAGAGAGAGAGAGAGAGAGAGA